GCATGAAAGATATCTCCAATATAAATGGCCTTCATTTCTGTTCCTCCTCTTTTTATTAATTTCCACGCTAGCTCATTTTATAAGATTTTTTTTTAAAAGTTCTTATTTCCCTGCTCCCTGAGGATGTCCTAGCCATGAAATCTCAGTTTGGGATTTTTAAAAGGAGCCTTCTGCAACCACAGTGCTAAACATTCACAAATTCAACAATTCTCCTATGAATTCTGTAATGTTATCTTAGCAAAAGGAAATCCTAAGATGGCACAATATAAACATCAAAACTGTATGGATAAACTTTTTTTTTTAAATTTGATTTATATGCCGCCCTTCTCCGGAGACTCAGGGCGGCTTACAATGTGCTAAGCAATAGCCTTCATCCTTTTGTATATTTATACAAAGTCAGCTTATTGCCCCCACAACTGGGTCCTCTATTTACCTACCTTAGAAAGGATGGAAGGCTGAGTCAACCCTGAGCCTTGGAGAGATTCGAACCTGCAGTAATTGCAGGCAGCTGGTCTTAATAACAGGGTGCTTTAGACCACTGTACTACCAAGGCTCTAACTTTAATGATTTGTCATAAATTAGTATTGCTGTTATGGCTTGAATCTTTTGTAATGACAAAGTGCTAAACTATGTATGTAAGCCTAGCACAATGGAGTACAATATGCTATTACACAGCTATTATTTACAGCTGCTATAAGTTCACCTATTAAATAAATGTCTGAATACTGACTGTAGGTCTCTCTTAAAAATGAGTGAAAAGTTATGAACTGTCATAAAAGACCTTAGTTGTCAGCTTTCATCCCAGATGTGGACAAATTTTGCTCTTGTGTCCTGATTTTTATGATAGCTTCCTTTTAACTCCCTGCTGTCTTGACACTGTCAATCACAATGGCACAGCAACAAGGAAAGATTGCATGGGACATTAACTATGTCCTCTCTTCCCATTTGAAATCCTGAACACCTTCTGCCCTGTTTTCTTTCAGTCACTTCCCTGCTATAATCTTATCATGAGGCTATGCTAATGGTGTGTCTCAGCTAAGATTTAACCATTTTACAGTTAAAATATGTAAAGAGATGTCATAGGATGGGAAGAGCAAGAGGAACTTTTCAGATAAGTACATACTGTTCTTCACAAACCACGGTGATGGTTATATTACTATTTACTATTATTTTCAAGTCAATAATTTGTGTTGATGTTTTATTATATGCAGTGGCTGGTGTTACCATACTATACTGTGTATATGCACATTTCTATACAGAAAAACTGTATGTATAATTTTTACTAAGAATTTTTATTATAATAGTAAAATCTATTGCAAACTAAATTTAAAGAAAGAGAATAGAAAAACGTTAAAAGGGCAAAAAAAAAGAAAGAAAAGGAAAAGAGAAGATATAGAAAAGTGAAAATATAATAAAGAAAAATATATAAAGAAGTGACTTCCAACTTCATCGCAATATAAATAAATTTAATAACTCTTCACCCTTTAGAGTTGCTATGAACATTTATCTTTATTATCCCATATCCCTTCTCTTATCTATAAATAATTCATAAAACATCATCTTTTCAGTCCTGGTACCAGTAGAACATCCATAAAGGGTAACCAGAAGTAGCAACATATCTTGTTTTTACCCTCAATCAAATAAATTGATTTTATATTCCTTCCTTTTACTTTTAACAATCTTAATCTTTAATGAAATGTTGTAGGATTTGAGTTTTCTTCACTTCTTTTCCCCATCACATACAGTTCTTCAAGACTTTAACAGACTCTTTTGTAAATCCAGTAGGAAAAAAATATTCAGGTTACCCTCTTGGTTTGTCATTTTAAATTTTAAAACCTCAGCCAATTTCTTTTGTAGATTCAGTGAAACATCTTTTTTCTATAGCTTTATCTTGGTCTGACAGTTGTAAATCCACCTTCAATTCCTTCATTATCTTGTTAGTCAAACTTTGTTCTACATGTGACATTTCTTCAATGACATCTTTTGGATGTTGCCTATTTATAGAAGCAGACATCATTACTGGCATTGTTGATATTGTGGTGTTCTGCCCCAGCTACGGACCCAAAGAACGCAGCACACACAAAGTCTGTACAAACCTTAGTTTACTAAATAAACCAGTATCTTACAACAACGGCTGTTAATTAACTGCATTAACAGCCGCCAAGAATTCAAAGAATAATAACTGAAAGCTTACTATGGTTGGCAGAATGCCCAGAAGCAATTTGCAGGAAGCTGATAAGATAAGCAAGACAAGACAAGAAGGTATGTGAACTAAGTTGTTCCCTGCAAATTGCTTCAGTCGGCCTTCCTCCTTAAATAGGCTAAGGGAATGGCCAATTAGCCCCAAGCCTTACTCGAGGAGACCTCTTCCTGAGGAGCCACTCCTGCCTTTTGGCAGCTCTGCGCATGCGTGCATCTAGGAGAGGCTCCTCCTCTTCGTCCTCTTCACTTAAGGGAGCTTCTGGAGGTTCTGAAGGCCCTGGCTGAATCCCTGCCTCTGGCACCACATCTTCTCCAGCCTCCTCATTGTCTAACTCGAGTGCCAGCTGCACAGGCTGCTGGTGTAGCACCACATCAGTCTCCTCACTGTATGAATCAGCTACTAGCTACACAGGCCGCGTACGGGCCACAACATGTGGCTACTTGTTTCTGAGTCCATGCATCAGCAGTCTCTTTTATAATACAGGCCTACCCATCTTTCCTCTATTTAAAATTTTAGTTGCTTCTGGCATCCAGTTTTCAAAATCATAAAATTATTTATCTGTGCTACATCTTGTAAACGAAGAGATCTATTTCCCATGTTAACCTATTTCTACTTTATATTTAATTCAAAAATCATATTGTAAAAGTTTCAACATTCCATTTATAACTGAACTCTTAAGTGCATTTATAACTGTGTTAGCTCATCAATGAAACCAGTTTATGGTACAAACTATCTGGATTGGATCACCAGTACTTTTTTTTTTTTTTTTTGCCAGCCATAAAGAAAATAACCCTGTGGTGTGTAATTTCCATAGCATTGTACTTTGTAATAAGTTATAGAACTGGAATCTGCAAATACTGCTGAATGATTGATATTATCCACTTCTGTGTGTATCCTACCATATTATAGTAAAAATTGAACTGCTATTATATGTGTAGAGATACAGTTTATTCCGTATACCATGTAAGTCTCTCTCGCAGCTATATTAAAATGTGCTGGATACATTTCTAGGGAGAGAATCAGAAAACTGGGACTCCCTGCTGGATGTTCTAAAGTGATGCCAACCCACTGCCAATTTACCGCTGAGATTTGAAGAGCCTCAATTGTGGGTATTAGGGAGATGGGAAACCGTGCTCAATTTATCTGTCTGCTCTCATTCTGTGCTGAAGCAAACCCATTCCCCGTGGCCTCTGCTTCATAGATTCTTCTCCCTAGAGTCATAATTGGCATTATGTCATAAGTCACAAGGTGCTTTGTTCTCCGCTAATTGGGAACTATTATTCCAGGAAGTAGATGGGGAAGGAGGCAATGTGCTGTAGTATACAGCCTTTCCCCCATGACTCCCTTGGGTCTGCACCACTTTAGCAAAGGCTCAGTGAAAAATAGCAGAAGGTGGTGGGGAGGGGGGGGGAACGACCAGGCCAAGGTGTGAAATGAAATGGAAAAGAACTAGCTAGGCACTCCTGAGTTTTCTGCAAAGCTTGATGGGCTGCTTTTCCTCCAAGAATCTTATGAATTACATATGAGCCTTGATAGTACAGTGGTTTGGTACACCCTGTCATTAACACAGCTGCCTGCAATTTCTGCTGGTTCGAATCTCTCCAAGGCTCAAGGTTGACTCAGCCTTCCATCCTTTCTAAGGTAGGTGAAATGAGGACCCAGTTTGTGGGGGCAATAAGCTGACTTTGTATAAAATATACAAAAGAATGAAGGCTATTGCTTAACGCATTGTAAGCCGCCCTGAGTCTCCGGAGAAGTGCGGCATATAAATCAAATTAAAAAAAAATAAAATATCCGGGATCAAATATCACAATCGCTAATTTCTACCTGCCCTGCAAAGTTAGAACGAACAGCTTATCTTGCTTTTAAAAAGAGGCAACTAGTCTTTTGCGATGCCTTTATTGCTTAAGTCCATGACAGATGAGATCTGAATTAAAATTGGCTGCTCCCTTGCTTGGCATGATCTTTCCCAAGGTATACTGAAATATCCAGATCTTTCTTTCTGATTTCATCTTACTGATGGGTTTAATTTTTTTTGTTGGGCAGTTTGTAATCCCTTGAAACAGATCTCTCAGTAAATAAAGTTGGATGGGCTAAAATTACGGCTTCGAAAAAAGCCGACTTGTTCCATTAATCGATTCTTTTTGGACAGCTTAATTTTAAATGTTTCTTATATCACTTGCCCTGAAAAACAGTTTTCAACTGTTTTTTTTTTAATGGTATAAAATACAACAGAATATATATTTTTATTTAATACTCTGCTGCACGAGATGCATTGGCTGCCAGATCTCACCAGGCTCAAGATTGACTCAGCCTTCCATCCTTCTGAGATAGGTAAAATGTGGACCCGAGTTGTTGGGGACAATATGCTGACTCTGTAAACCACTTAGAGAGAGGCCTGTAAAACACTGTGAAGTAGTATATAAGTCTAAGTGCTATTGCTATTGCTCCCTATGTGAGTCTTTAGCACTTGATGGATTACAGCTAAATTATGAATTGATTCCGGTGAACAGCAGTGTGAGATGCTCTTTGATCATGCAATAGCTCTATTAGTTTGAAAATGCACTTTCAAACAAGGAGATATTTGGTTTTGTTGTCAATGAAAATTGGCTACATCTGAATTTGAGTACAAACAAATGCAGCACATTTCCCCTTAGTTCACCTGAAGACTTTAGTATCCCAGAAGCATTTGTGACCTATGGTTGATTTAATTGGATCTATGGAATGCAATTTTGTGAGAAAACTAATTTGAATAGGCAAAGTTGTGGGGTGGAAAATAAAATGGCAAAAATTTTCAGAGACACAAAGATTTATTAATAACAAACAGATGTCAAAACTTATTGACAACAAATACATGCAATACCAAAAATTGTTGCTTCCAAGACAATAGCTATGCCAGATTATCCCAGCAGAAACAGCCCAGAGTTTTTGTGACATCTTCAAACAACAATAAAAGAACAAGTTCTATCTTAATATTCTGGGAAAGGGATAATTTATATTGTTGTGGGAGGCAGAAATGGTAAAGAAAAAGATGAGGGGGTAGGTAGCAGTTAGGTGTAACACAGACATTCCAGCCCTGAATAGAGTGAACATGTGTCATTTGATAAATCTTGATCTATGTTTAATCCATGGGAAATGGTGCCCTCTTGTCTAATGAATTTGAGCTTAGCTGTTTAGGAATGTAATCACCCTTTGTAATTCCTTGTCCCAGGGCAGATGTCCAGGGGAGTTTGAACAGGGTACTTGCTGGTGCCAGATTTGTGTCCATTTGTCCTGCCACATAGAGTTTTAAATTATACGAGGTATGTGAGGGATTGTTGACAGGTCATGGCTTGTACTGAATTGAAGAACCTGCTTGATTTAGTATCCTCAAATAGCATTGCCAGATAAGATGTACAGATAACAATAGTATCTAGCTTCATTCTTGGATGTGAATCATTGTGGTCCATTGTGTTGGAAAGGTCAGTCTTAACAAACTAGAAAGCATAATTTGGCCTGCAAGTTACCAACATTTAGTTAGAACAGCCTTTCACAGTAATAGCAAGCAATCAGCAGCCTTTCCAAATTGGGTGACCTTCGGCCAGTCACTCTCTCTCAGCCCAAGACAACTCACAGGTTGTCGTTGAGGAGAAAATAGGAGGAGAAAGGTGTGTTGAATACATGTATATTCACCACATTGAGGTATTGTAAACAATAATAAATACGGGATATAAAGATAGATAGATAGATAGATAGATAGATAGATAGATAGATAGATAGATAGATAGATAGGCTACATTTCATATAGTCCTTATTTAGTGACTACAATTGGTACCACTAACTCAGTCATTAAACTAAGTGGTCACTAAGTGAAATCCCGACTGTGCTTATGATCCTACTTAAATTTTCTTTTAGACTTGTGAAGCAGTGGTGGGTTCCTCCCGGTTCTGTCCAGTTCTTGCGAACCGATAGTAAAAGCAGCGGGACGCTCCACCCACCCACACGTCATAATGGATGATCTGTGCATGCGCAGTAGCGCATGCGCACTCCCGTCGCAAACCAGTAGTAAAGGTAAATAGAACCCACCCCTGCTGTGAAGGTAAGAAATATGAGTACTGGTTGCAAAGTTGATTTTTCATTATCACTGTGGTAATATGAATGGTTGTTGTCCGAGGTGGCCACTAAAGAAGGATTATGTATAATTCACTCTTCGATCATTCATATTATTATTGTTGATTATTCCAGGATTCCAGGTTTATTGTTGCACATGAACTCGATTATTGTTTGAAAATTAGCCAAGGAGAACAGTATCACTGCTCTTAAAATGTATACATTTTGAGGGTGCTGATGTATGTTGTCGGGGTAAGGGGAATATACAGATTGTCTAGATCAGTGTTTTCAAAACTTGACCCTTTGAAGATGTATGGACTTCAACTCCCAGAATTCCTCAACCAGGCATACTGGTTGGGGAATTCTGGGAATTGAAGTCCATGCATCTTAAAATAGCCAAGTTTGGGAAACACTGGTCTAGATGATGTTATGTTGATTTCAGAAAAGTAAATTTCTTTCTTTTAGTGTTGCATGTAACTGTGGACAGTATCTACTGTCAAATACATGTGACAATGCTAGTGCTACTACTCCTGTTTCTCAAAACTATGTTTTATTTATTATCATGAACCTGATATGAACCTAGAATATAGGTGAGTGTAAATGCATATCCTTAAAATTATACTTAGGAAGTGGGAAACTATGGTTCAGATTGTTGGACAAGAATCTATGGAGTTGTTCTGTTGGCTATAATTCAGCAGATGGTTTTTTAGACTAAACCTTGTTGAACATGATCTTCCATGTGAACCTACCTAAAATTACGCTGAAAATGTTTTCCGAGAACACTTGCTTTTCCTTTTCCTTCCTTTTGCCTCATTTCTGGGAATGTTGCTTTTCTGAGCTGAATCATCACGATTCCTTGCTAAATCTGCTCTCACGCTGTTCTTTATTCACTCCTTCACGGCAGAACATGTTGTAACCTTTGATCGCATAAGAAATCCTTCTTCGCCACTACCTGTGATCTTCCCCAAATAGAACAAGAGAAATAATTAAAGTATGAATAAAATCAAGTGTTGGAAAAATAAACTATTCCAGATGGGATGATGATTAGATGAGGTGATAGACTGATTACAGAAACATCTTGAAAAAGCACGAGCACATTATTTACACACATTTGATATGGTCAGGAGTGCTTTTCCGGTTAACTCTGAAGAGTGACTCCAGTCAGTCTCAAGTGGCAATGATTCTTAGTTTACCTAAGAATGCTTTTATGCAGAGGAATATATACCCTTGTACATAATACCAGTATGTACACATTAATCAAACCTAGTGTAATATAGTGATTCTACTAGTTATAACATTGTGCTTGAATGCAATAAGTTTACATTAAAGGTTTGGGATCTATATATTTTTAATTATATTGTACAATAGGACACTTAAATGTGCCAAGATGTTTGCACCACAGTCTAAGGTACCCTGTTTCCCTGAAAATAAGACATTCCCTGATAATAAGCCCAATCGGGTTTTTGTGCGCATGTGCTAAAATAAGCCCCCCCCGAAAATAAGCCCTCCATGAAAATATTTAAACGCATGCGCAGCCGGTCCCTGCCATTTCCTTTGGATTTCTCCACGCGCCCCAAAATAAGACCTCCCCGAAAATAAGGCCAAGCGTTTATTTCAGGGTTCAAAAAAATATAAGACAGGGTCTTATTTTCGGGAAAACATGGTAGTAGTAGGGAACTTTAGTCTCTCAAGATGTTCTTGAACTACAATTGGCCATGCTATGTTTTATGGATTTGTTGATAGGTAAGTGATGGGATATGGGATGAATGTTTGCAATCTTAGAGGGAATGAAGAGTCGCTAAATTTGTTTATACTTGTGATGAAGGTTGGAAGTCATTCATGTATTTTATTATATTCTTTTTTTTTGTTTCTTCTCACTTTCTTTTTTATTGCTGTTTTTACTTCTTTCTGTTCTTCTGTATTTCTTTAAGTTTATCTTGCATTAGATTTTACCATTGTAATCAAAACTTAATAAAAATTTTATGCACACACACATACGAACACGCACTTAGCCAGTTGACCTAGCTGAAATGCTAGAAGTTCACTACTACTGATCTAATATGAATGGATTTATACTACTGAGATTACACATTCAAGTATTGCTATAAGTGCCAGAAAATAGAATAGTCCTTTTTTTAAATGTGTGTTAGCAGTCACCAGTGGAGTAACTCTGGGCATAGAGATAGTGCCCCATTGAGCTGCAGCTTATCAAATGGGTTGGAAAGAAGTGGCTTTGAGGGTCAGTTCCATTCTATTCCTCACCTGTAGCCATCTCCCCCCTCTATAACTTTTCCTCCATTGTTGAGGAAGGAGCACTGACAGGCCTGTCTTTCCAAATTTGATTTCTCTCAAGAGAGGAGGACAGGAGAAATGGATGCACTTCCCTGCCTTCTGATTTTTCTACTATCTCCCTTTGGTAGAATTTTCTAGCTTTGCATAGAAGGGAAGCCTCAGAAGTCTACTATTTTCTTCCCTTGCCATTCCAGATTTCCTTCCAAAAGATCATTGCTCTCTTCTTAGAATCTTCTGTTATGGTTATGCTATCCATTAATTTAATTAATTTAATTTAATTTAATTTAATTTATATGCCGCCCCTCTCCGAAGACTCAGGGCAGCTCACAATACATTTTAAAAAATAATTATAAAAAAACATTGAAAAATTAAAAACATTAAAAACTGATTCACGCCATTCATGTTAATTAATCACCATCACCATTAATAGTGATGAGAAGGCAAATTTGATTCAAACAGCATACTGTTTCAAGGACTAGTGGTTTGATATTTTTTTATTATAGGAATAAATAGCAACCATTCCCTTAAATGAGGGAAATGAAAAGAAATGATACCAAGGCAAACATTCCCAAAAGAAGGGGCTTCTAATGGTGCTACCTTCACTGGAAAACCTCCCTTCTTTTGAAGATGTATGAAACATGGGTTTCCCAGTACATTTGCTCAAGTGTGGCTGGAAGTTGAGGACTACCTCTAGTCTAGACAGTTCAGTCATGTTGTTTTAATATTCCATTTGTGTGTTATTCTTATGTTGTTTTAATGTTAAATAATTTGATCATTTAGTGATGAACAATATTCAAAGTAATAAAGAATATCTATAATTATCAATAACCATCATACTGGCACTACTCTGTACCTACAAAGAATGTATTGTGCTACAGCAGATGACAATTTGTATAGCTGCCAATATAAAGTGCTTTTCTCTTAAACTGCCCTGATGTTTCTGGGATCATTTGTTCCACTGTCTAATAAGACTTTAGATTAGTATTAAAAGTACAATTGCAAAGTATAAATTGGGAATGTTCTTTGTACGAGAATTCTTGACCAGTCAATGAAAAGCAACATGATAGCAGACCTGATCATTTCCAAAATAAGAGACGTGTGGCAACTGGACCCAGTTTCCAATAAAAGGCAGACTAAACACTTCCATTATAAAGAGTAAGCAAAAAGAATAGTGCAAAAGAATTTGAATATTGTTCTTGCTGTTACAGATCAACTGTCCCTGGAATTCTCTGGAATTCTTTTGTTAGGGTTTCTAATGCTTCTGATAAAGAATGTTTTATCAGGAATTTCTGAATTCTTGTGAGTTGGTTCCATTCTTTGACTTTTGGATTATGTCTGACACTGTGATAATTGGTTGCATATTTAATGACTGCATGGTTTGTCCCTGAATATCAACCTTTTCCTGTAACGTCCTTTTTTTTCTCCTTTGTTTGATCAGGTTTCTCTTCTGCTTGAAGACTTGCCACCATGGCTCTGGACAGATACCTGCTCTTTAACGTGGGTACCCAGATAGCAGCCTTCTGCTGTCTGTGGCCAGGACCTCTGTCAACTGAAAGATCTGACAGCCCATTCATCCTTTTGCCCTCTCCCTTCTAAAATCATCCGCCCATCCAGTCACCCATGTCAATTTGCTATGACATACATCAGCGTTGATGAGAGGCAGGAACACTCTCGGGTAATTTTGAGCTGCCAGAATAATCAGCTGTATGTGCAACATGGCTTCAAGGAGTTCTCAATTAGCAACACGCATCCCTTAAAGAACATGGACACTCGTATTTTCACTGGAGACTTTAATCCCGTAAATAAAGGAGGCAACCATGCAGGAACACATCTGTATCAGAGCATGGAGAATCTACACTGGACCGCAGTAGCTGATCCACACTGCCATCCTCACTGTGGAAATGTAGACAATAAACTTGTCTTTCATTGCAAAGGCGCAGCTCACTCTTCCGGGTATTCCATGGAAGATTCCCTAACTCCCAGTTCACCTGAACGTTACCGACACTTTTCCCTTCCATCAGAACAAGGGATCCCTTCAACACAAGATATAGCCATTTCCTCCTGTGCCAAAGTGCCTCCATGGTTTCTTTCCTCCATAAGTGGGGATGCCAAAAAAATCCTGAAAGAAAAACTTAGAATTCACAGTAGTAAAGCTCCTGAGATTTGCAAGCCCCTCAGAGCTCAGCCTCCTTTGAATGATTCAGTTGCAAGGGAATGTTCTCAATGCCGGGCCTGCCAGCAATATAAGAACGGTTGCTCCTCTAACTGTTGCACCATATTTGTGCAGCATGCCGCTCTTGCTCATGCCCCATGGATGGCATTGGAGAGGCAACGGCCTTGCTTCCATAGCAGGCTAACCAGCCCAGAAGATATCAAGCAAGAAGCCCAGAGAAGGTTGCAGGTCAGGAGGCAGAAGAGTTCCCCCAACTTGACCCTTCATTGTGTCCGTGATAGTCAGAAAGTGATCAAATCCCAAACTATGGGATCATTAAATGGAGAGGGAGAGAGAGGAGACTGCAAAAGGACTCCAGGAGAGAGCAAAAAAGCTGATTGCAAAGAGAGGCTCTACATTCCAACTTTTGAAGAGTTCAAGAGGATGAGAAGCAAGGAAGCCCTTTTTCTCAATGGCAATAGTGAAATTGTGAAGGATAAGATGGAAGGAACCCAAAAGTTGGAGGAAAAAAGAAGTCAAAATCAGGATAATGTTAAAGGAGTGGTTTCAGCCATAGATGACGACGACGAGGTGTTTCATGAAAACAGCCAGAATGCTTCCAGGTTTATTGGCTGTGAAGAAAATTCATCCACATGGGACAGAAGTTTCTGCCTAATAAATATCCCTATGGCCAGGGATAAGATTTCTGAAATCCCAGCATCAGAAACTGTGCCAGTTCCCATCTGTTCTAGCCCAGTTCCAAGATCACCTCTGCAACCTGCTGCGGCATTTAGGAAGGAAGGCAAGAAAGATTTTGCGGAAGGAGAGAAGCAAGGATTGGATGCAAGAAATGTCAGGGAAACCCTCCATTGTGCTGGACAATCTCTGGTGCCTGAAACTCCGTCATCTTGCTGCCCGCTGCTATTAGAAGCAACTGATATTTCCAGTTACGGAGCTAAGCTTCAGAAAATGAAGGATGAATTTATAGGTACTGCTCTGGACCTCATTAAAAAGAGGTAATCGTTGTTAGAGATCCTGAGGAATGTTAATTCCGACGGAACATAGTCATTTCTAATACTTTTTATATTTGTATGCTTTTTATATTCGAGGTGAAGTAGATAGGTTTCGACTAGTGTGAAAATTGATGTCCTGGGTAACATCCTTATTATTTTATTATTTATTTATTATTTACATTTTTATATCGCCCTTCTCCTGAGGGACTTAGAGCGGTACACAGCCATACTAAAACGTGTGTATCTATAAAATTTAAAAAACAGTTTAAAACATATTAAATGATTTGGCCCTATATTAAAAACTAAAACACCCATTAAAATCCATTCTTAAGGCAGCCCAGCCTGTTGAAACAGTAGAGTCTTAAGGGCACAGCGAAAGGTACGTAGGTCAGGGATCATACGAATCTCCGGGGGCAGTTCATTCCAGAGGGCAGGTGCCCCCACAGAGAAGGCTCTCCCCCTGGGGGTCGCCAGTCGACATTGTTTGACTGACGGCACCCTGAGGAGTCCCTCTCTGTGTCCTTCTAGCCTAGTCCTTCTAGGCTTTTGGAAAGTTTCTTCTCAGATAATCATATAACTTCAATCCAAGAAGTAGGGTTGGTGTCATACATTTATACTATAGAACAAACAATGTTTTTGTTTCAAAGAAGCAGCTTCAAGCTGTGCATCGATGAGAATTTTGTACATATTACTACAGCTTAGTTCACACTTCATGCCAAACCACAAAGAGGCTTGGCTGTAGTTTGGCGTGATGTATAAACCTCAGCTTTTGGCTTAGCATTCTTGATTAATATACATAACAGGTTAGCACAACCTGTTGAACCCCAATCTTTATTTGATGCAGGAAGGATTTCCCTCAGGGGAACTGAGGGGAAATAGTAAAGGTGGGATTAGATCTTTTCCTCTATGTGGTTTGTTTGTTTGTTTATTTACTTACGTTAAAGTAACTGGAATTTATTACGTGACTCTGTCCTATTAATGCTCATGACCTACATTGCACATAAGGTGGGGGTCTCCATGGAGTAGGGGTGGAGGGATAAAAATGCCAAGGGGAACATGACCCTGCAGTCAAAGCCCTGCTATTTGTATGTGTACTGTGTGAGTGCACATAGCAAAGGGGATGGACTTCATTCTGTCTTTTTTATCCCCCTGCAGAGACTGCTAATGTGATGCCACACTAAGACTGAACACTGGAAACAGCCTAGCTTCTCCCTGTCCTCTTCCTGTCTGTCAACATGACAGTTAACATATCACTTGCCATTTAAACCCTGGAATGTAGTCAATCCTAGCTATGGCTGGCAAAAATAAGTCACTATAAATATGGGCTTATTACAGTCCTAACCAGTGTTACAATTAACTGCATTTTAGTGGGTCTGGATAACATGACAAAGCAAAGTTTAAAAACTTTCCTGAAACCTCCCAAATTGATTGGAAGGAGAGACGCTGGGGGTTCCAGGAGAGCCCTAGAGAAAATCCGGTCTTTTTTTTTATTTTACTTTTTTTTTTTTTAATAAAAAAGTTTTTATTTTCTGATCAAACAAGTATACAATATAAACAATCATTCAAACTATCATCAAGAAAAAGAAAAAGAAAATCAATCCTTGGTAAACTCAATCTTCAACCCCTCCTCACCACCCCCCACCCCCGACTTCCCAGAACAGAAAACAGGGCATAGGTTTCACCAAACATTCACTAAAATAAACTAGCTAACTGTAAGATTTAATAACTCCCAATACCCCTTAACTCCCCTTTTACAATTTCATCAACCTCCCTTTTTATAGACTCAAAGTAGCGTATAATCCAATAACTCTAAGAGTTTTAAAGCCATTAACAAATATTAAACATTCAAACCTTAAAAATTCTCTTAATATATCAGTAAAGTATTCAATTCATTTGCAAAAACATTTTCCCCCTCCTACTTTTCTCAAAGTTCAGATATTTTAAAATCTCATAACAAAAAATAAACCTTAGATATTCAGTAGTTAAATTTCTACATTTTTTAAGGTTCCTAAATTTTCCCCCTTCATTATTCCTCCCTCCAACTTTTAGAAATTTTAAAAGATAATCATCAACATAATTAACCATTAATACATAAACTAGAAAATCAAAAAGGATTAATCTTACATTCAACCATTAATGCATCATATTTAAAAATCAATATTTAACTTTATACTTTTTCCCCCTCAGTAGTTATAACACCTAAAACATAATCATTTTTAACCATGAGTAAGTTCCTAAATTTTCCCCCTCATTATTCCTCCCTCCAACTTTTAGAATTTTAAAAGATAATCATCAATATAATTAACCATGAATACATAAACTAGAAAACCAAAAAGGATTAATCTTACATTCAACCATTAATGCATCATATTTAAAAATCAATATTTAACTTTATGCTTTTCCCCCCTCAGTAGTTATAACACCTAAAACATAATCATTTTTAACCATGAGTAGAACAACTGCAAAGCCAAAAGAAAAGGTTAATCTTCCATTCTTGCTTTCTTTTTATATTTTTTCCAGTCTTTCTGCATCCCTCCTACTTCTATTTTGAGGAGGTTTTTCATTTTAATTTGAGGTTGATGTAACTGCGAAGATTGTCCCCTTTTTAAGAAAATTTCCTCTGATTTAGAGCCCCTAAATCGCCTCTTCTTGCTTATATAAATCAGTTCATTCCTTCGTCTGTAGGACCAAAGTTTGTCAAGAGTTGGTGAAGAAAAGTTCAGTTGTGTAAATGCCACTGGCAAATCTCCTTCATCTTCTAAAACTTCGAAAGTCTGATCATTTACTACTTTTTTCCAAACCAAGTCGTAATTTTGAAAGATTCTATCAATTTTTTCAAAAAGAGCAGAGAATAAGCTCGAAAATTCTTGAGAAGATTCTTCCACCTTCTCTGCTGCAATCAGAATATCTCCTGAGTTGTCATCATGCTCCGTACTTATTTTTGTCTCCTCAGTCATTTCTGTTGTTATCCCTTTAAGAATTGCTATTTGATTACTTATAGCTGCAGTATGATTATTCATGGCTTCTTTTATAAATTCTGTTAATTCTGCATCAAAATCCTTATAGCTCTGTAAATCAGACAACTGTTCCATTTCTGACACCTCCAAATAGCTTCCAGCACTTTCAGGATCTTCTTTCTTAGAAGCCATTTTATCTTTAAAAAAGATTTTCTTTCTTCCCACAACCATAAAATCATAAAGTCAAAGCCACCCTTTTGAGCAGCTTTCAGCAATTTCTTTATAAATCACCAAACGAAATAATCTTTTCCCAAACCGCTCTTCAAAATCTATTCCAACAACTTAAAGCCAGTCTCTGAGCACGAGTCTATTAGCGAAGACTTTCCTTTCTAACTTTCACTTTTAAAATCGCAACAAAGAAACGCCATCTTTACTTCCAGCTCAGAAAAACCAATTAGAAACATTGTATCCCCGGAGTTAAGTGTTATACTTGCAAAAAGCTTGTCCTCCTGCTTCTGTTCCGCCTGCTTTTTTGAAATCATTTAATCTTCTGTTTGACAGCAGAAATTGGACGCAACGCCTAGCTCTGTAAAAAAAAACAGAGTCCCCCCGGATCCGGAGCTTCAGTGGGCTGAACGGGGAGCTCTCGCCCTCCTAACCCCTGGAATTAATCCAGGGGTTTTCGGGGAGCTCTACCCTCACCCACCTGCTCTCCTCCCCTTCTTTTCCCGAAGGGGAGATTTTCAAGCCGTTTGACAGCTGATTAACGCTGTCAGAACGGCTCAACGGGATCGCGGGGGCGGCGGTCTAAAAAGACCGTCAATGGCGCTGCGGAGCCAACCCGGAAGTCAGAAAATCCGGTCTTATTCTGAAAACCATCCGGTGTCCCTTGCTCAGTCTGATCACTTGCTTATTCTACTTGAATATGCATTAGGTAAGGTTACACTAAGTGAAATCAATTTCTGTGGTACAAATGGGGCATTCAGAGTGACATCTAGATTACTGTCAGCTATATAAAATACTCTTAGAGGCTCCCTTTAGAAAATTTGGGGCAGTGATTTAATAATAGATGGTGCATGGACATTAGAACTGAATTAGCAAATGTGCATATTTGGGACAAAATAGTGCGTAAAGCAAAATGCAGTTTTTCTGTTGAAATTATAAAACCAAGTCAGGATTTTTTCAGAATTTAGTGTGGTTATTCCAGCAACTCACAACTCAAGGCTATAGAACTGGAGGAGGTAATACTTAAGCAGCTAGATTGTTGCTAGATTTGGGAGTTAAAACATTCTCAGGCTTCGCTCTTGGTCTTTTGATAAGGAAGAAACAATTGGAAAACTGGAAATCTTAGAAAAATAGAAAAGAAAGAAAAAAGATACAAAGATGTAGCTTCTTTACAGTAACCATAAATATGATTGTAGGTTTGCCTTTCTCTAAAGTTACATTGTGACTCTCTTCTTTACTATCTAATCCTTAAAATCATAGATCATAATTTCTTGTTTTATGCAAAAGGTCGATAAAGGGTTTCCAGTCATCAATAAACTATTTTCTTTAATCAGATAGGTCAATATGGCCATCTCAGCAAGTTCTATCATCTTCACCAACCATTCCTCTGTTGTAAATATAGCCATATCTTTCCATCTTTGTGCTTCAATATATTTTTCTTTCCTTTTTACTTTATGCATTTTCATTTTTTCTTTTATTTCTCATTCATTCATTCATTCATTCATTCATTCATTCATTCATTATATATGTTGCCCATCTCACTGTCCAAAGTGACCCTGGCAGCTTTCTTTTCCCCCTCTTCGTTCCTTACTTTATTTTAGTTTGTACTAAATTTTACCCTCGTTTTTAAAACTTTCAATAAGATTAATATTTTAAAAAAGAAGGAAGTCTAGGGTTTACGTTAGTAACATGAGGCAGAAAAATGGTTTGAAATGTGCCAGCAATACCAGGTACTTGTGTGCAGTGTCTTACTGGTTACTTTCCTCACCTTGCATTTTAAACTATGGTTTGCTAAACTAGCCATTATGGTCAATTCCATAC